TCCATCCAGACCGGGCCAGTGAAATCGATCTCGGATCCTCTTTATCGTGTTTCCAGCTCCTAGATGTCCTGCCATCGGGTGAGTATGTGCCAGCTCTAGTATCGTCTCCCTCTTGTTCTTCAGAACAACCAGTAGGGTTTTCTTTTCCCCCCGCCTCTCTGCGACACAGTACAGCAGACCATATTGCAATATAAAATGAGGGAGGTGGTGAGGGCTGGGTAAAAATTCTTTACTGTCAATTATTCTAACTTGGGCCAGCAATGTTTGAGAGTTTGATCTTCCCATTGTGCTCTCCCAAAATCGCCTCCTGTGGTTATCTGTTGGAAAAGCTCAAAGTACAAATTAGCTAAACCTGTAGACTCACCCCCTTTTTCGCTCTAGGTGACCAATAATGCTGGCTGGCGGTCCCGATGAATCCATGCTTTGGTCTTCTTCCTAGGACGAGCCGATGGAGCATGATGGTGTGAGAGGAGTTCTTCGAACCCCGTCCAGTCTCTGCCCAGGAGGAGGGCACTGGAAGATCAGGAACCACCCAGACTTCCATGGGCCAGCTACCTGGTTTAGCCGCAATGTTTACTCTCTGTGCAGGTACATAGCGGGTATCTGCGTGTACACACGTGATCGGGATTCGGGCTTTGTTTTCACGTCGGTGTTCTAACACTTTAGGATGTACTACAGTAATGGCGTTTCCCGCATCTAACGTGGCTGTTAGTGTTTTTCCATCCAGAGAGACTTTTCAGGCGCATGCTTCAGAAGGGAAGTTGCAGCGGACCAACCAACCTGCTATCCAAGCCGGGGTCGAGTGCATCGTCGGCTCTGTGGGCATCGGCTCGTCCATCTGGCTGGGTACCGCTGGCCTGCTGCCAGGCTGCACTGTACCCTCCACCAGTCTCCATGGTGCATTCACCCTGCGGGTTGGCAGAGCCGCTCTCTCCCCAGCATCCCTGGCTACATGAGCTTCAGCCAACTCCACCGCTTCCACTAGGGTGGCCACCATTCCAGGATTTCTCATGCTGATGAGGCTGCATAATCGTTGAGGTAAGGCTCGTAACAATTTTTCCACCACCACCTTTTCAGCAAACTGGACCGTAGAGGGGTCTTCCCCACTCGGCCGAGACGAGTAAGTTGAACTGCTTGGTTGCGTACCACCTTCTTCTCATCATAGGTCCACACTGAGAACTGCTGCACTGCGCTGATAGCCGAGAGCCCCATTCGGGCTAATATCTCATTCTTTAGCGCTATATAATCTTTATTTTTAGGTGCCTCTAGCGAAAAATAAGCTTGTTGAGCTTACCTTGTGAGGAACGGAGCCAACAGTCCAACCCAGTTCTCCTTCGGCCAGTTTTCTCTCTCGGCAATAACTTCAAAGGTATGCAAATAAGCATCTATATCGTCCAGGTCGCTGAGTTTGGTAATGTGGTGATGTGCACTCACTTCAGGAAGCAGTATGCGTCCGGTCGCCTGGCGGAGCTGTTGCTCCATTTGGTCTTGTCTGGCTGTGAGTTGCTCAGTAATCTTCTGTTGCCTAGCGGAGATCTCCGCAAGGTGGCATATCACCTCTTCCATCAACATGGTTCACCGGGCGATTGCAGACGAGCAAGAGAGAGTGTGTGGGAGGGACAGAGCGGATGCCTTGTCTGTAACACAACTAAGAAAATTCAGAGGTTATCTTCTTCTTAAAGGTAAGAGTTCTTCTTGAATTTTCCCACTAAATTGCCTGCATTCTCTACCAGTTGTGGCGAGATAAAGGGAAAACACACACTCCAAAGTTAGTGTTGCAAACAATTCCCCAGAGGGTGATTTATTTACAATCTGAAGACAGTGCATAAGACGGATACGGTGCTCTTCAAACGTGTAGATGGGCTGGTGCTCCGGGGAGAAGGTGAGGTTAAGTGAGAGTTCTGGTGAGGAATCGGTCAGCTGCTTGAGTCCGCTAGTAAATAGAGAGAAAGAGATACAGATGTTAGCGCAGGGGGTCATTGGTCAAATGAAGCTCGTCTTCCTCATGTTTGGTGGTGGCTTATATCTGTGCCTCTTGATGAGCGCCAGCTGTGGCCGATCCGCTGTGATGAGGTGACAGCTGGGTTGAATCCGGGAACAAGGCGACGTGGCATCATTATACTCGCCACTATATATTTATATTAGGGATGTAACGGTATCAGAATTTCACGGTACGGTAATACCTCGGTATGAATGTCACGGTACGGTATTTATTGAATCATTTACAGGAAAAAACAAAACTTATGAAAATACTCCAAAAAAGTGCCAAAAGTGTCAATGACATACAAATTAGTCATCTATCTGTAAGCTTTGACACAGGAACTTCAATTTTAATAACAAAAAAATATTAAACCATGTAAAAAAATTAAGTTTCAATTTAGTAGTGTTGAAAACTCATCACATTCAACATTTAATCACTTACTCACTTAGATAGAGATGGGTTTAAAGGAAAATTATCATATAAATATAATCTGGTAAAAGCTGGTATCTCTGGGTATTTACAATGTCCCCTGCAACAGAAAAAAACCCTCTCATTTGGGACTGAGGTTTCTGGGACAAGAGAGATATGACTTGGCCCAGGTTGACAGCAGTGGGTAACGTTGTGCATTGTCTTTCCCCCACTTGAGAGGACAAACCATGAGTGAGATTGAGATCTCATGTCTGCATCAATCTGAACAGTGTGCTGTGTTTCTGCAGTCCCCATGACTGATTATTAGTCGTATTCCTTAACTTGCAGGCACGTGCACACACAGTGCTCAACCTGTGCAGTGCACATGCCCTTTTTAGTCTTGGATAGAAAGTTCCCTTCCAAAATGATCAAAAGTGCCCCCGCGACGCGACATACCCTCCATCCCGCTTTACAGTACGCACGCGACAACACAGCTGATAAGAACTCGCGCGACAACACCGCTATTCAGTACGCGCGCGACAACACAGCTGATAAGAACTCCCGCGACAACACCACTATTCAGTACGCGCGCGGCGACAACACCCGCTTTAGGGTTTTGCAGCTCTTTTTGATCCCCGCTTCTAGCAGCACACTCCATTTCCGCATTACTGGATCTGTAGCGACAACAGACCGCAAGGGATTATGGCCAAGCCTGGGCTGATGGGAATTGTAGTTTCCGGTACCTCCCGTTCGCTTCATTCGACTGAGCAAATTTTCTCAGAAGACCTATAGTTTTACCGAGTCATGCGACTACGGTAATATCGGAAAAAAATAATATTGCGCTATGACGGTATTTACAATACCGTTACATCCCTAATATATATATATATATATATATATATATATATATATATATATATATATATATATATATATATATATATATATATATATATATATATATATATATATATATATATATATATATATATATATATATATATATATATATATATATATATATATATATATAAGATCTTATACATTGTATCAATTTTCACTGAATGACTTTCAGTGCTCAGCCGTCAGAAAGAGCGTGATGTCACTTGCATGATGTTAAGTTGGTTAAGCTGCTCCTTCACAGAAAGTTTTTGCTACAAAACAAGTGCCCTGAATACAGATATGGAGGAACAAGCTTCCACAAGTAAAAATGCAGACGAAGTAGTTTATGAGAGAGTAAAGACTAATGCAGTGGTTCAGCTTTTTAAGTTCTGATAAACTTGTAGTTTCATTACTCTGCAAAATGTGCAGGAGAGTGGTGCCGATTAGCAGCGGGAACACATCAAATTTGTTCTGCCCGATAGAACATACTAAGAGTTAGAAGATGAGGTAACATAAAAGTTTAAATTATTCTGTCGCCTCACCATCCCCACCATCCACCTCCCTGACACCGAAAGAAGCCGTGTAGGATTTAAATCAAACTTCGCTTATCAACTCATGCAAATACACCTATAAATTACTCACATAAACCTCTATGTTCAAAACATGTAAGAAGCTTGCATATAATCCCACATTAACACACGCACATACATATAAACTCGATCCTTGCATTTACTTGGTCCTCGCATAAACATTCAAATTTACACACACACACACACACACACACACACACACAAACATACAAACTTGCTGCATGCTGGTATAGCACGAGCAAACTTACAAAATAAAATTCACAAACATATTTAATAGGAATCAGGTTATTGCAAAGCTTATGAAATGTGATTAATAGAGGTATTAATTCTGTTAAATAATGAAAGTGTTTTAGATATAATATTAGTCTATGTAAATAAACTATATAAAATATATAAGAACTATTTTATGATAAACCTTTTAATTTAATTGGGTAAATATACCCAAATATAAATAGGCAGATAGAACGCTTAAAGGATGTTCAAGATGAAAAGCAATCAGAACTATGAATATACTCAAACTCTTTTCTATTGCAAATATTAATGTAGCCTATACTCTTTTTCATTTATTTTATTATTATATTTATTATTATTCTTTTTCTGTTTTTTTTTTTGTTTGTTTTTTGTTTTTTTTACAATGTGGATGTCATAATTGTACAATTTTGGCATTGTTTTGATTGTAAAATTTTCAGTATATACAAAAGAAAAAAAAGGAAAAAAACTGATAATATTTTCCCCATGAACTGTCTATAAATAAATTAATTTCTAATATAGAATATATCTGTTTGTAAAGACTAAATACAAATAAAAAGTTAACATTCATTTTTTTTTTGTTTTTTATAAAAAAAAAGGTATCAAAAGCTTGGAGGTATTATAGACTATGCAAATTCAGTTTTCAGACATTTGTAGGTACAGACATCTATTGTGTGCATTCTTGGCAGTTTTTTCTTGTCTTTTTATTATTGTCCATATCGATATCAGAATTATATCGTATCGACTAAAATTAAGAAATATAGCATGATATAAATCATGATATAAATTTTTGCCATATCGTCCAGCCCTACAACAACTCCCACCCCCACCCAATCCTCCTATTAACTGACATTAATGCTGGTTTTCACACTTTGCTTTTTTTTTCTCAGGTGTGGTTGGATGCTGCCACTCAGATCTTCTTCTCTTATGGTCTGGGATTAGGTTCTCTTATTGCTTTGGGCAGCTACAACTCCTTCAACAATAATGTCTACAGGTAAGTCTTTGTCCAAATGTATAACATTCTGTACAATATCTGCACAATTTTGTAAAGTTTACATTGTGTCCCATTTTTACATTTTTGTTTCTTCTGTAGAGATTCTGTCATTGTGTGCTGTATAAATTCCTGCACCAGTATGTTTGCTGGGATTGTCATATTTTCCATTGTGGGCTTTATGTCCTACATCACAAAGAGACCCATTGAAGAACTGGCTGCTTCAGGTCATTGTGTATCTGTAACACTTTAAAATTATGTTATTGTAAAGTACTTAACAGTTATGGTGAACTAATATCTTTTCTGTTGAAAATTGTATGCTATTAAATTTAACAGGGGTGCAGCAATGACATCAATAATAATTTCCCATGGGTTCCCTTAAAATTAATAAGGGAAGCATAACTTAACAATATTTGAACACTTCTAATGCGTAAACTCCACACACGTCACACCCTAAATCAAATGCTTTATTAAGTATACCCAACAGTTTCAGAGATAACATGTTTAGTATGGCAAGGTCTAATATATATTGTAGAGCAGAAAATAAATTTAGCCCTTATTGTGTTTTTTTTTAATTGCCTTTCATGCAGCTTTAAGCGAATGAAAACATCCAGATGGGAATTTCATTTAAAAGTGCTCTGTAAAAAACATTGTCTGTCAAAAACAAGTCCACGTTTAAATAATTCACCAAGCATTTAGACTTTAGCTGTTTCATTATGATTTCTGAACAAATAATTGCCCTACTCGTGTGTTGCAAGTGCAAACAAGGAAAACTTGTTGAAAACAGCAGCTGATAATGCTAAAAGTGTCTATAAGAATGTGGAGCAACTAAAACGAGACCATCTTCGATTCTGCTTTTGGTGATGCCATAAGGTTTTTAACAAGGTAACACTTAAAATGTATGTAATAAATACAATTTAGTCTTATGCAAAAGTGTGGCCACCCCTGATAATTTTCATAATGACAAGCCATAGCCTGCTGACCTTTAAAATCAGCAATTTCATTTGGATGTAATTTATACCATAGGGAAAAAGCAACATTTCAGTTTTGACATAACATTTATTTAATCAACAGATGCAATGCAATTCATAACAAAAACAGACAGGTGCAAACATTTGGACACCCCAACACAATAATGACATCAATCTTTTGTACAACCACCTTTTGCTGAAATTACAGCCTGTAGACGGTTCTTATAGCTGTCACACCTGCTTAAAGGAATACACAATACAACTGCTTAAGGGAAGTGACTAAAGTTATGTTGGTACCGAAGATCTGAAATTTACCATTTGAAATGTATATGAGATCGCTCTCCCTATACTACACCACTTACCTGCTTTATCTTTCAGCTATTGTTGCCATGCACAAATAAATAGCCTTAAAGATTTTTACATCATTGTCTTTCTTGTGTGATTGTGACAATAGCCAAGGATAAGTCTCTGAATTCTTGAAGGCATTTTGGGCCATTCCTCCTTGCACAATTTCTTCAGGTGCCGAGCATGAATGGCTCTTTTCAAATCAATCCATAGATTTTTGATCATGTTCAAGTCTTGGGACTGGGATGGCCATTCTAAAACTTTGCATAATTTTTTAAGCATGAATTTCTTGGTAGATCTTGACTTGTGCTTTAAGTCATTGTCCTGCAGAAACATCCAACCTTGCTGTAACTTAAACGTCTTGATTGATTTCTGAGCATTGTTCTTTAGATTCTGCTGATACTGGGTGGAATCCATGCAACCTTCAATTCTGACAAGGTTTTCCAGTGCTTACCATCGTTCTCCTGGAAACCTGTGTTCCTTTTATATTGTGCAAAACGCCTATGGTTGTGGCATCTGTTCACAGTATATTTTTCCAAAATGATTCAGGATTGTCGCAGATTAGCCTTTGCATACCTCAAATGACTCTTCTCAGAATGCAGAAAAGGCTTCTTCTGCATCACCTTTCATTGAGCAGTTCTTTGTAAAAAGTGCACTGGACTGTAGAACAATATACAATTACATTATTAGCAGCAAAAAGTTCCTGGAACTCTTTGGAGGTGGTGTGTGGTTTGTCTTTAGCCATTCTAACAGATATTTTTCTTGGTTTAGCACATCTTTCCTTCACAAGAACTGTTCCTGTGGCCTTCCGTTTTCTTACTATATTTCTGACTGTGGAGGTAGAGACTTTACACCTCTGTGATTCTTCTAATTAATGTTTATGAATTATCTTTGTTTTTAGGTAATTAGGAAGTTCTTTTTAAGATTCCCATGTTGATACTTTCATGTTCACAATTAGAAGCACAACTACCAATCAGCTTAACCTGTGTTAGGATTGTTAAGGTTAAAAAAATAGTATATAGCTATCTGTCAAAAACTATACATTCTAATGTCATTTATCAGACCACTATCAAACCAATGTGTCTTACGTGTATGTTTATAGGTACAAGTATTTATATGCAAAATATACATATAATTATTAAACTTGGAGTGACCTCAGCATTCAGTGAAGGGTGGTGTCATTTAGCTTGTGAGTGCCATTTATAGTAAGCATGTGTTTGTTTTGCCTGGATTAATATTCTGCTTGTTGGGACAATAATTCCAGCTGTCACCTAGGCCAAGCAATAGGGTTTTGCATTGATAAGGTTTACATTTATAGATACTAATTGTAAAAAGTTATTTCTTATGTGCCTTGGATTTAAAGGTTTGCATTTGATTACTTAGTCATTCAATATTAATAAGTTTTGCATTCAGAGATTAGTCATTCATTCTGTCATTCTGTCAGGGCCAGTAAATAAAATAAAAAAAAAAACCCAAATGCAGATGAAGACAATGATTTATTGTAGAAGGCAAAAAAAATTCTCACCGATCCGTCCATAAGCAAGAATGCAAAATTGAAAAAGAAAAAAAAATCGTCTACAGGCAATGTCTCAGTTTCAGGGGAAAAGACACAACTCAGTTCGACAGATGGAACAAAAATGCTCTTCAGCAAGCAGTCTTCTCAATCTAATAGAAAGAACAAGAAACTATTTGTCAAAAAAAAAAAAAAAAATAAATGGCAAAAGAAAAAAACTTGCAGACTTTATTGGAATAGTTGAGGGGGAGAGAATGACCGAAATTAACCAGGAAAAAAAAAAAAAAAAAGATTGGCCAGTAGAAACAGAGGCAGGTGTAATTGTCAGAACCAGGCCAGTGTCCAGGACATCCTAAATTCAGGCAGCACAAGAGCTAAGACTTCAGGCAAGCCAGGGACTACAAAGAAAAGCTGGGAAGGTAGGGAGATAGTCCTGGAGCCAAACAGAAAAAGGTTAACTAAAAACATCCAGTTTATCTATATTTGATGTTGCACAGTCAGACGCAAACAACAATCTGGCACAGAACAGCACAAACCAAGAGAATAAATAGGGGAGCTAATGAGGAGAAAATAAGCAAAGACAGGTGAAGCAAATAAACTAAAAATATGAGAACGAGGGGGTGGAGAGAAACAATCAGGAGAACAAACAAAGGAACATGTGGCTAATACAAACAAACAGAACAGATAGAACCAGCTGATCAGCCAGGAGTCCTGACACATTCATTCATTCAGCTTAGGGCCTACTCACACTGTGCCATCCGTACCGTGCCCAGGCCCGTTTCCCGGATCGTTTGAGAAGTGTGAGTGCGCTGAATCGGGTACGCTTGTGTGTGAGTGCAAAACGCGCCAAAGCCCGAAACTGAAAGCGAGACGTGACTTTTAAGGGACTGTTTGATATGGATTTATTAATCATTCTTACTGTTCAGTGAACGCAAACTGCCGTAGTTTATTAAAGACGCAAACTCCTCACAGCACGCCAGCTGCGCGCCTTCAGCAGACCTCCTCATTCCTGCAGCACGAGAGCTTTATGATTGTTTATGAGCGCCAAAAGTGGCGGATCTGTTAGGCGAAATATCTGACTGCGTGTCCCCGCATCCCTAAGGACTGTTTGGCGAAATATTTGACTGCATATCAAACGACTGAAACGATATAACTAGAGAAATCTCCACTGTGCTACTGAGTGAGAGCGTATGGCAAGCCGTTTTAGCATTTAAACCTTGTTCTGACTATCCATAGATATATTTAGAGATATCTCTAATTCTATTTTGACTAGTCATAATTATAATTCGACTAGTCAGAATGACAATTAGAGATATCTGCAATTACAATTGTACTAGTACGAAATCAGATTGGAGATATCTGCAAATATATTATGACTAGTCATATTCCTCCATTGACTTCCATTGAAAAATATTTGCAGATAACTCTAACTGTTTTGACTCGTCAAAAATCCAATTCAAGATATCTACAACTGTAATTCGACTATTAGTAAATTAATTAGAGATATATTCAAATATATTTGTAAATATCTCTAAATATGATGAATTAAAGATATCTCCAAATGTATTATGACTAGTAAAAACTCAGACATATCGCTAATTACAATTGTGACTAGTCAAAACTCAGTTAGAGATATCTGCAAATATTTTTTTTTTTGCTGTGCATTGTTGGATGTGCAGGAAAAAATATTTGTTGACAGCACTTTACCAACAGTTAAAAAAAATGTTGGTGAGAGAAAAAAACATTACCGGATGCATTGTTGGTATTATTTCCAGAAGTTGACCATGTCGCAGTTTAGTTAAAATAAGTTCCTCCACCTGAAGTAATTTGTGATGTACCTTTGCCATTTGCAGTGCAATAAAACATTGTTTTCCAGCCACAGCTGCTTCATTCTCATAATGTATAGTTTGTCTAAAGTAATGTATACAAACTATATAATACACTATGACCAGGTAGACAATCAGCCAGTGCAGTTGTCCCATAGTAAAAAGTAACAGTTTGTGTTTGCCAGGTTGTTTAATTATGCTCCATTGTTAATTAGTTTCATTGGTATTTGTCTGCCTGTTAATTCTGACCGTACGTTCAATAACATCTGGCCAATGAGTGACATGGATTTTGTCACACATTTCTTTTCAGCGGGTTTGGACCAAAGCAATCAGTGTAGTGTGAAAAGGAACCAAAAGTGGCAGAAAATGCTATAAATGCTGTTGACCAAATGAAATGAACCACAGATGTGAAAGCACCCTAGGACAACATTAGCACTTGTTGGCTTTAATTATGGATAAACCTGGATAATTTTGAGCTTTTGTCAGCTAATTTCATCTTCCGGGTTTAAAATCATTTTTGGGGCAGGATCAAAATAAGTGAAGTAGTGCTTGACTAGCCTGTCATATATTAT